CATGTGTATTGATTTAAATTTTTTAACTCAGGGGTCCAGGAACTGGTCGACCATGGCCCAATCCCAACAATGCCAACTCTGTGAGTATTGATGCACACACTTTGGGAAGTGCTGGTTCAGATTGCAGTCCATTCTGAGAACTGTGGAGGGAGAAAGCTCCCAGTTCAAGTTGGGGCAGTAATTGTAGTATTATGTGTCAGGGCCTCCACAGACTGCTTTAATACAGTTAGGACGCTCAGATGATGAATGATGACATTTTGAGGTATAGAAAGAGCTTATATTCCCCTTTACTGTGTTATAATGTTTGTGTTTCTGCTTTCAGATGCCTTACTCATCACCTTCTCCTGGCGCTTATGGGGTGAGAACATCTGACAATTTGATGAAGAATGCATTTTGACATAGACACTTTTCCACATGCATTAAAATGTGTATATATATATATATGTATATGTATATATATATATATATATATATTTTTTTATATATATTTTTTAATATTTTTTTTTATATATTTTTTCTCAAGGGGGCATCTGGTGGGGGCGGACCTCCAGGAACTCCTATCATGCCAAGCCCTGCAGGTTTGTGACCACCAAATTGATTTAATATTAATTTACGAATTTCCTTCTGTCTAATATTAGGGAAAAAAATGTGTTAGACATGTACTTTAAATGAACGATTTCTTGAACAGACTCCAATAACTCTGGTGACAATTTGTATACAATGATCAACACTGGACCTGGCAACCGAAATAATGTAAGTGTTCTTTTAGTGTTATTTAAATTTTTGTGCTACAAGATCCCCTGTGGCTTTAAGAGCTTTGTCCATTATTTGGTGTTTGTGCCTTAGTTCCCTATGGGCCCTGGCTCCGATGGACCGCTGGGAGCCATGGCTGGAATGGAACCACATCACATGAACGGATCACTAGGTAACAAGTTGCATGTGTATTTTGCCTTTGTTAACTATTGCTCCTGAAACATCCCATAGAGTTTATTATTTTTATTCCTAGGGTCTGGTGATATGGATGGATTGAACAAGGTAATCGTCAAAACAATACTTGGTAGTCCATTAGTAGTTCAATTTACCTATAATATACTAACATTTAAATCTTTGTCAACAATTTTATAGAATTCTCCAAACAATTTAAGTGGCATTAGCAATCCTCCTGGGACACCAAGGGATGACGGGGAGCTCAGTGGAAACTTTCTTCACTCCTTTCAAAGCGAGAACGTAAGTGCTTTCTCTCATTATCTGGAGAAGAATTTATATGTGCCTATGTCCACAATAAGCACTCACATGTATGTATTTACTCAGAGTAGTAGGGTGGGGTATAGGGATTTGGTGATTGAGAATGTATCTTTCAAAAGCATCTAGTTCCCTACTTACTGTAAAAGTTTTCATCTATACGTGGCCTAGATGTCTCTTTAAAGGCTGATGTAATAGCACACACACATTATCTTTAATGAGAAAAGAGAATACAAAGGAATCATCTTTACCCAAGTGAGGTGCGAACACATAAACCAACCACTATTAATATCAACTCTTTGAAACAGAATATGATGTCATACACCCAGACAGTATTTCTTATTGATTACATTGTTCGTAAGAAATATTAAGTCAGTTTACAAATGTGGAACCTGATTATTATTAGTGACTAGAACCTATAACTTGCTACATATATTACAAAAAAAACCCAAACAAACAGCTTTTTCTTTGTAGCTGCCCCCTTTCTGTATTAAATATTTCTGGTCTGTAGAAGGTTGTGATGTCATTTGAAACCCAGTGATATTGACTTCCTCCAAAAGGGTGTGCATGTGAACTGTGAGGTAAACTGCAGAGATCATTATAACTCATCTAAAAGCTGCATTTTATACTGAGGCTGTTTGGTGTCAGCCGCTAAAGGTAAATTTTCAAAACAAATAAGTTGAGAAAAATAGCAATATAGTTCATAGCACATGTGAGATTCCATCTTTGCAGTACATTTACTTGTACTTGTACACTGTTAGTCCATAGAATTATGTGTGACCCATCCATCACTGGGATTTTCAAAAAATTATAGGAGCATACTAGTCAATCCTGATTAGTTTTTTTTTGTATCAAAAATAGATTCTCATTTGAACAAGTACAAATACATTGTTAAATGCTGATTAATGTAATCTTCTCAAATAAATAAACACTGAATCTATACCAGAACCACTATCAGACCACATGGTAATATTAAAGAAAGTTTTGTTGTACAGATTTCAATATTACAATGACACCTTTTTTGAGTTGCTTCCCTCCAGTGGAATCAACACAGCATCCAGATATAGAGCCATTTAAATGAAAAGACAGTCAGTTTGTTACTGTAAAGAACAAACTAAAATGGTATATTTTTACTAGGTCTGTGACTATATCTTGTTAAAGTAATTTTTGACTTGAGTAACATTTTTCTAATTTTGTTTTCAGTATTCTCCAACCATGACGATGAGTGTGTGACACGGCTCCACTCGTCCTACATTGTTTGCCATCATTCCTGAGGATCGATACTCACATAAGGACACAGCCAAACACATCAGCACCAAATTGTGGACAGATAGGCGCCTTTTTTGGGAATCTACGCTAACCAGAATGCTGATAGGGGGAAAAAACCAAAATGGCTGGCAACCACTGCTCCTGGCTCAAAATGAAGGACAATTTCTCCATTAATCACATCCCTAGAGTGCGACAAAACCAGCTACTGAAATGCATACATGACACGTTTCCCTCCCATCATTCTTAGCAGGGCCCAACCCCCGCCCCTGCCCATCCAACCTCCTCTGCTCCTCTTGAGTGTTGAGGAAAATGGTTAAAGTTTACCTCTTGTATTTTTTATTATTGCTTTGTGTTGCAAGATGTGCAGGAAATGTCTCCCGCTTTTGTCATTGAAAACACTGGAGATTGTGCAAATGCATTGTGAGCTTGGAACGTCTTGTCATTTTTACTGTCAGTCAACATAGGACTATGCGTTTTTCTCTTTGGCCACCATTTATTATTCTTACTAAAATCGACCTTTTCTATTTGGAGAGGTTTTTAGAGGATTCACATAAACTGTTTTGAAGACTCTTGCAGTATGTCAGTGCTCAGATGGCTCTTAAATACTCCAATTGATCAAACTGATTAGTCTGTAGTAACATCTGGACTGCTGTTGAATTGTATCAAGGGAATTTCGGCATAAGACATGAGTGCATGAATGCTGAGAATCTGTGTACAACATACTACCTAGTGCTGCTCTTACTGTGTGGACACCTGCTTTAAGATGTGGTGTATCTTTACCTGCCTGTGCTTTTAACGCTCTGTGCTCCTCATTGTCGTAGCCTTCTGTGTTTTTTCCACTTTGGTTAATTATGTTGAAATGGCTATGAATGAGCTGCCCATTTTAATCCCATTATGCATATTTGTTGTTCACCTGTCGTTCCTGCAGCATTGGTCGCTCCCCAGGCCCTGTCCCTACACATTTTTTATATTTTGATACAATCTTTGACTACTTATATTGCCCCAGTTATTCAGAGTTAGTCAAAGCTTTCTAAACTGATTCTAGTAGGCGTCATATAAAGTTAGCAGCAGTCTTGTAAATGTGACAATGATTTGTTTCATTATTTTCCTGTGAACATTACGCATTATACACATCTATGTTGCCTTTATTTGCTGATATTTTTTTATTTCAAATTGAGGAAAGATTGCTTGTTAATATAATTTTACAATAACTTAAACTGGTGTGTTGCATCTTATTTTGACAAAAATGAGAAGTAGAATAGTTGTAAATGACTTCTATGCTCAGTAACATGTAAGAATATACTGCATTGTTCAGTGTAATTAATAAGGATTTTAAAGAAGACATTTGCAATAATAGGATCTGATGGGGTAGGAGAAAAACTGCAATTTTCCAAGCAGTCAAGTCACAAATGTTGGACAATGCAGGATTACTCACACATGCATAAATCACTCGAAATAAAACTTTGAGCTAATGATGTGGGAACGCCCTTATAACATGGTTAAACGCTGAAAATAGACTTTACATAATGTGTCCTCTCTAAAGAACTTACTACATTGCCCTCTGCTGGCCAAAAGCCCCTCTGTTCTCTTGTTTACCTGTCACCTGAAAGCAGTTGGGTGCACTGTACCTGTTGAACTCGGGGCTTGGGTTACATCTAAGGAGGAGTTCATAGTTGGGTGAATGCCGCTCTAGCTGGATCCTGTTTAACAAAAGGAAAAGAGGTGCTGACTGCTCCACAGGATGTGGCTTGGCTGGGCAGGATCCAAAGCTCCATGTTTACTGCAATGAAAGCCCATGAGGGACACAACGGCACTGTTTAGATTAACATGGTTATTATTATCCATGTTATTACAATAGGCCTACATGACACCAGTATACTGTAGTATACAAACTAACTACACTGAATGAATACTTTATAAGGGGTATTATAAAACACAAAACAGACTGACATTTTGCTGGATGAATATTCCATGTCATAAGGCCCTTAACTTTAATGTGTGACTGCAATCAATATCCAGTGATAAGGCAGTTAGATATTAACCTACTTCCGTGACTTGTATATGCATGTGTGAGCAGAGGATCTGACGGACTTACACAACTAACAGACTGTACCTTTAACATTAATCATTTCCAGACACGACGGCAAACAAACCTGTTTAGGTCAATAACAAGGTACAGCTGCAAACAACAGGATTCAGCCTCTGCTTCACGTGATTTCATGAAAAGCCCACGCAAATGTTTGGGAGAAGAATAACTGACTCCACATTAACAATGCAATTCAGAACTTAACGTAGATTATTAAGGTCAGTAGTTACTCCACAAATATTTAAACATGTTGATGTTAAGGGCAGAAAAGGGAGAAATGCAGAGTTCAGGAGCTTCTCATTAGAACTGTGAACTTTTTAAATTTAGCGGAAACATGCTGACAGTTACTTTGTGCTCCCATTTGGAAGTGTTCAACTTTACCAGCAAATGAGAAAAAAATTACTTGTTCTTAAGAAAAGATATTTTAATTTTATACAAAGATATTCAATTATACAAATGTTGGTAATTCAAATACATGTTGAATCTTAAATGTCCCAATTTAATGTATAGAAAAACATGCTTTATGTACATACAGTAGATCCAGTTACATCCCCCAGACGTTTAAGATGTAACTTTCATGGTAAAGCAGCTTTCAACAGTATTAGATTGGGGCACTGAAAGAGAAGCTCAAGTTGTTCCACTACATACTGGACTTATACAAAAACACAAGCACTTGGGAGCAAACAGGCGTTTGGGTCATTGAAGGACACCTCTGACATCATGGACTGGGCTCAGGGTTAATATCATCGAGCTGCAGAGGCCAGAGCTTTACTCTGCAGCTGTCACTCAAACTCCTAACTCCACAGTCAGTGGTCTGAGGTGTCCTTCAAAAGTAATAGTGCAAAGGCTTACAAAATTAGCAGCAACTACAGTGAAAGTACAACATATGCTGTATATGTTTGGATAATATATGGGAAATGTTGAATATAGTACTGCATAAGAAGTAAAAAGGATTATGTAACACAAAAAGCATGACAGATGGATCTGGCTTGATACGAGCACTCTTATTTCATTTTTTCCAGAAAGGCACGTACTTCCAATGGATCGTAGCCCCATGGACCCATTTTTCCCTGAAAAAGAAAGGAAAGATTTATTGTCTTATTATGTAATACAAGTAACACTTTTCTTTGCACACAAGATATAATGAATGGGCGAAACAATAAACAAGTTTAGGAGTTGGTCGTCTTAAATGAGTCACATTTCTGGCATAACTTTTACAAATTTGGGGGTGTGCCAAGAGCGATGGTGTTTTCTACACACGCGATGCCGTGAGATACACAGGACAATAAGACTGATGCTAAGTCTTAACACACACAAGGAAACACAATGGGTGGGAACATGTAAGCTACACTACACTCCTCCAGATTTTTTAATGTACCTTATACACGACTTGCCCAGCCTGCAGCACATACAGTCTTTCGGGCAGTGCTCCATACTTTATAGAAGTGCAATTGGACATTACATCCACCACCACTGGACACGGGAGGTCCTTCTGAACCAGGATCCGAGCAGCGGACAGCCGGTCTTCGAGGCTCTGATGCTGTTTTATGTCATAGTTGTTGGTAAAGGCCCAACCATCTGGAATACATAGATTTGCATTCAACAAAAGGCATGTTAAGGACTGTTACAGTCAGTTGCACATTAAAATTCTTGTTTAATGACTTATGGCTTCATCATAAGCTGTGTCTAAAATAGGACAATGTCCCGAAACAGGCACCTACACATACACACATATTGACAGAGTACACTTGGACGGGAGGGGGGCTCACCTGATGAGTGTGCTTCTGCGATGTAGACCACTAGGAAGTCTGCCATATCGCTGAAGTCCTGCACGATTTCCTTAAACTCATCAAGTTTGTACATGAACGGTGGTCAGGTGCAGCTGCCAAAGCTCAGGACCAGCGGTCTATTGTCTGCACAGTTAAGAGCTCGTTATTTAACATGAGAACCACCAGGTGACACTAGCGTCATTTGCAAAAAACAAACCTTTCATGAATTTGAAGATGCTAGACTCCTGTCCCTCCATGGTGACCACAGGTGAGTCTGGCGCTGCTCTCCCCTCAAACGCCTCTTGACCCATTGATAGCCATATTTGATGCGACGCTGTTTTGATGAAGGAAAGCGACATGAAAGTCAGGCCCCAGTCTTCATATGTGAAATTGGGGTTTTGTGTCAGTGTAAACTTTTTTCCCATTGACAGCGTGAATTTCTTGAGGATGTTAGGTGAGATGAAATAAATAATCCTTAACGTCAAACTGAGGCTGACCATGTAGCCAAACATGAGTATCGTCGATAAATACACCCACAGTTTTTGGAGAAACATGATGGCTTCTTGGTGGCAGTATCGCCGTCCTCTCAGCTTCTGTCACTGAACAGTCATCTGGCTGAAGAAAAACATGTCTGCTACCGCCCACTCTCCACACAAAAGTTTGGTAACCGCTGCGTTCACGGACCACCTCCGAGCTCCTTCTTTTCACTTCCGTCAATTTCTCTGTTATTTTGTTTTCTTAATCTCTGAATTAGGCTAGCTTCACATGTGTGTCAAGTGGGATTTGTAACATACGACACAGAACTAAAATAACTTATATAATTTGACTACTTAGCCTGATCAGCATTTCTCTCATAATTGTAAAACACAGACTAACGAAGAAAACAATTAATAAAATAACAATAATAGCCTATACATGTAATGCGCTTTACGAGATTATCAAAGCGCCAACTGTAGACAGTCACTATTCATTCACTCTCTCAATACTAATATACATAGTAATGATGAGATACTTCCGTAGACACAGCTGCCCTGGGGTAGACTGACGGAGGCTGCAAATTTGCGCCATCGGCTACTTCAAGCACCAGTTATCCTTATTGTTGCAGTAATATTAAAATACATATGTAGGCATATTTTAACGGCGACAAAGCTAAACAGAATGTTACGTGGATTTTCCATAGACCCATTTTGTAGCCTTCGTGACAGTAATTTGTTTGGTGAAAAAGTGGTAAATCCTCCCAGGCTCTTGACCGCTCTTTAAATGCATCATCCCATCGATCCACGTTTCAGGTTTGTGTGGAGTTCATGTTAATATCATCATGGATCTATTAAAAATCAAACCATCCGTGCTAAGTGTGTAGACTTTTCGTTTACCCGCCAGGTGGAGCTGTTGTTTTTGTTCTAACTTTTCTACTTCTACAAAAGTGAGTTTACCAAGCAAGCGCAAAAACACTCAACGAGATTTAGGCGCAGAGTCAACTCACGTTAACCTGACATAACTGCCTCTAGCCTACATGTGATAATATAGTTTTGCACTGTTCAAAGACAGACTGTAATCATCTTGAATTTAGACAACCTAACCTTATGTTCAGCTGTAACTGCGTCTCCTCTTGTGTTACATGGCTCCAGTCTACATAGGATAAAAGTGGGCGTCCTCAATATTTCGCACTTCTCTTGATAATGACATCATTTGAGGCACCCACGTGTAGTTGGGCAGTTACAGTGTGGAGTTACTGTACTATAGGCTACATCCTCCCCCGGTGCACTGGGCCAGCCTCATTGGTGCGCGGGAGCTCGTGGGGCTGCAGCGTCACTGGGTGCCAATCAGAGAGAGGCAGACGGACGCGCGGGATGCTGATGTCTGGAAGGATGCTGGCGATTTGGCACTCAGACGCGCTCACCTTGTTAGGTCACCTATGTGAAAGAGCACCGATGGATGTTGATATCAGCGGATAGAACAGTAAGTGGCACGTTATTCTTTATACAACATCATGTGATAATCTATTTAATAAAGTATGTTTTTCTTTATAAATTCCCTGCGCAGGTAATGGGACTAACAGTGTGAGTTGCATATAAGTCGCACATTAAATGCAGCAGGACTACTCATCGGTGGACGGGATGGTGAGCCATTGTCAGACCCCCACGTTTACAGATTTCACCAGCCTGTCGCTCTCCATGTACGGCAAAGCCGAAATCTGTGCGCGGAGATCGGCCAGCGGTGCCCTGATTTGTCGGAGCCCCCTCAGCAGCCCGGCTCGCATGAACTGCTCCAGTCCTAAGCATGTCAGTGGGTCTGAAGAAAAAGTACATCAAACCTGCAAAACTTCACGGAGTTGCTTTTCTTCCCAACAAGGTAAGCTCCCTGTATTTATCCTACAGACATATAGGCCTATTTATCACAACACTGATTTATAAACATATAGTTTTTATACATTCATGCCATAGTTCTACCAGTTATGTTATGCCAAATATCACCATCAAATATTTGAGGTATGTAGACTATGAATCATTAAAATATCTTTTCAATTATATTTTGAACATTGATTATTATTCAATAGCAAAAACATTATAGAGCTTGCAGTGCTTGATTTTATTTTACATTTATTTAGCCTACTTTATAAACCAATGTTGAAAGTGGTCCCTGCATGAGTCTGCACAGAAAGGCAGTTGTGAGAGACTTGCTCTAATAACTGCCCCGTCCTAAATTATGATTAGTCGGACCAGACTTTTATATTAGCAGTCATCCTTGCAGCAAGAAGAGGATCAACGGTTTTGATTATTCTTTCTGTGTGCTAAACACAAACCAGATGTTTTTACTGAAAGTGTCTCAACATTTATGAGTCCTCATAGAGCAGCAGTGCCCCCAGCCCCAGCATCCCAAACACAATCAATCGTCTCATTGTCTCCTCAGGCTTTTGAACTGAGCTTCCCGGAAAATACAGAAACAAGATTTGTTTGAATTGAGGACTTACAAAATGTGAAATGCATGTCTGTCTCAGTATCTAATCAATACAAATAATGTGTTATATGTTTGCATTGTTCAGATCCTAATATAGAAAGAGACAGAAAGAGAATTGTAACCAGACTTTCAGTGAACAAACTGTTTAGTTGTTTACTTTTAGATGTAGCTTGAAATGTGCAGGAAATCATTAGCAAAAAGTCGTTTGAGGGATATTGCATGAGCTGCCTCTTTGCCTAGACACGTTTGAAAAAGATATTTTTAATCTCAGCGAGGCTCTCCTGGTTAAATAAAGGTTAAATAAATAAATAAATAAATTTCTCATACAAACGTTTGTCCAGTCCAGATAAATTGTGTTTGTTTTTACAAACTGTACATTCTGAATTTACTGGCGATGCTTAAAAAAAATATTTTATAGGATCATATATTTTTTGCATCTTGCTTTTTAAAATTGCATATTCTGCAATGTCTTTTGTCGATATTAAATTAGTTTGGCATAGTCTGAAATATTGCTGACTTTGTTGAATTTTTCTGGTAATTAATTAGACAAAAAAGTATAAATAAACAAAACAATACTGAAGTTGTGGTGCTGTGAGTGCAGACTAAATCAGCAGCGTGCTGCAGTTTCTTGAGGCTGGATCTCGGAAGCCTGACGCTGAACTTATTGGAGGAGGATGTTTGAGTTAGAGCAGAGAGGTGGCTCTGACTGATAAACGCTATGTCTACATCTGTTGATTCAAACTTTAAAATGCTGAGTCAGGCTTTCTAGTATTGGCTTGTGCATTTCTGTGGCTTTTTGTTTTATTTATACAAACCAGTTCGAGAGCCTTTTTTAGGTACGCGGTCGGGCATCAGTTTCCAACACTGTTTTTTCTTTTACTAAATCTACAAATGGACTTTACACATGCTTTAATGCCTTTAGTCATTTCTTTGTTTTTAGAGCCATCATCAGTAGCTTGTTTCAAATGATTACTGATACCCAAAAACAAAACAAAAACAAAAAAATAAATAAATAATTGTATAGATGCATGTAACATATTTGGAAATGCATGAAACACAAATAATATGGATTCTGTAACTAAATATTATAATTTGGTTTATTTTGTAATCAAATATAATAATTTTAGATTGTTTACTATATATTTTTTATAGACCCCAGGAAGACTAGCGACCACTTTGTGAAAGCTAATGGGAATCCAAGTAAATAAATAAATACATATTTTTAACCCCAATCTTCTTCTGTCTATCATTAATGTTTTCATTAGTTCTTTTTATTCATGACACATTTTAGATTGTTTGCTCGGCGTTTTTGAATTGACTAGATTCAAAACATTATGAAAAAATGAAGCATTGATTGATTATTGGTACATTTAGTTTACATGACTTAAAACGTTTAAATAGATAAATGTTTATGTAAGCTTCATTTCATTTTACTTTGAGAATTATGCTCCAGTTAGTTTTAGCTTCATTAAACATAAATCATCCTATCATAAGTGTTAGCACATTTTATGAGGCAAAGCTCTTGGGATCAAGTAAAAGCCCATTATGTTTCTGCATGTCATTACTTTTGGTTTAAAAAATAAAACATTTTTGAGTAATTACGTTCTGTGGACAACACTTTGCCAACAACCATTAATGCAAATGAAAACTCTTAAAACAACAGTTACAGAATACATTTATGTGACTCAGTCTGTACTTTTGTGTCAGAGGCTCTTCAGGGCAGATCATAACTGCTCTATCACAAATCTATGTAGCTAAACTCTGAATCCTCTCCCCATATGTTTGATGTGAGCTCAGTTGTGAGTAATGCAGGGTGCTCCTGAGAAGGGTGCTGGGGTGTCATGTGTGCGGCATGTTCCATTGATTCATAAAGCCCAGCACATTGATGATTGTGCTCGGAGTTCTCGTAAACCCTGTAAACGTCTGTCTGAAGTTTGGGCTGAGGAGGGAATTCTGGGTAATGCTGAGCCCACTTCCTGATGTATGAGAGAGTGCTGGTCTGGACACCTGCTGAATCACCTCACTTGTGTGAAAGCTCAGACTCTGTGACAGTATCTTCACAGAGTTCACAGAAATATTACAAAATATCTAATAATACAAGCTCTGTGATGTTTATTTAAGCCTCTGTGCTTCCCTGTTTGATTTTTGTGTTATGAATGTAGCATGGAAGCAGCATTTTGCTGCAGCCAAAGGCATACTGCTTTAAGTTTTACATGCCAATAAATTCAAACACTCAAAACTAAAATATGATCTGGTTTGAGTAAGTGTCAAAATAGCTTTTGAATACCAGAGCTAACATGCTCTGGGCTACAGTTTTATGAAGTAATAGCTATTTAGTTGGCAAAGACGTACTGCAATAAAAACATATTTTTAGATTAACAGTGTTTGTATTTTTGAAGTGGGTTTGACCGTTTCAATACCAATAGAATGAGATCTGTCTATCTAACCACAGGTCCATAGTCTGTGTAACTTTGCAGTTAGAAGCAGTTGGCCTCGTTCAGACATTTTATGTATGACTTGCACACGGGTGGGTTTTTGATTTACATCTCCACTGTGCCACTTGCTGTTCTTGGCCTGACTCAGATTTGCTTCATCAAAGAAAAATGTGCTCCACTTTGACTGTAGCAGTTTAAGGCTTTGCCAGAGCTGAGGGCTGCTGCCTGTCAGCTCAGTGACTTTAGGACCAGGACTTAACACCAGGGCACTGTGGAGCTGTTGTATAGGGAAGCTCTTAGCAGCTCTGTTGGCACAAACTCCTGTTGAACAACAGTGTATAGCTGCATTTCTGCAGGCTGGTATGTGCAGATGAATCACACAGCCAATCAGACATGGCTTCATCTGAGCGTCTGTTTTAATGCCTTCATTAGGTGCAGCAGAATGCAGCCAAAAGGTTTATCCTCTCTCTTGTTCACTCCCCTGTGCCAGGAGGTTGCCAATGGGGTAGTGCCCAGTCAGCGGAGTACACTATTGGCTGGCTCTGCCCCAGAGGACTATGAAAGACATTATAAAGTCTAATAGTGCAGTTTATATATTTTATTTGAGCTCGTTAATAGAATCCTGGTGCTCTGGAAGAATTATTTATTCTCTAGTCCTGTTAAACGAATCCAGCTGCAGTACTTGTATATTAACTCACTCATAACTAATAAGTGCATTCACATCCATGAGGAAGGATAGCCAGTGGTCTACTCTGAAGAATCTGTGACTGGCATTGTGCACTCTTAAAAGAATGGAGGTACACCTAATTAACAAGTCATGGGAAATCCTTTGTTGGTTGTCCTGGTAGGCGTAGCACAAGTGGACTTAAATGTAATACTGACAGATAGAAAAAAAAGGCAAGATTGGGGAAAGCAAGCCTTGTGATCAGATGATTGCTATAACCTATATGCTATAAGAGCCAACTTGCCATACCTATGAATTATAGTATTTATAGACTTTGCACCAATGAATTAGATCCACTCAACATATTTATCAGAGATTTTTATGTGGTGATAAAAAACCTTATCCTTTTTTTGTTGCCTCTACGCTTGAATCATCTGAATCATGTAAGACTTGTAAACTACACAGGAAGATTTTTTTAAGTGGATCCATATTTCACACAGTAATTGCTGCAGTGTGCACTTTTCATTAACATGCTTCACATTCCCTCAAAGTCCGTCCATGTGATCAGCAGTGCATAAAGAAAATACAGTTTTAAGATCTGGATCCTGTGGTCACCTGAGCAACAGGCATTTTGCTTTAGTAAGAATTTATATTAAAAAGTTAGATTTTAGTGGCATCATATATCACTTTTGCTTTTGCAGTGAATCACATGAATCACAAAGGCTGCAATTACTGATGTTATATTTTCCTCTTGCAACAATAAAATATCCTGTCTTCAACTTGCTCCCCATACAGTTTAGACCTCTACAAACATGTTCTGAAATGTGCTTCTTGATGTGTTGTGCACTTTGATCTGAATAATGATTTGAAAACAATCACAAATCTTATAACAATATGTAACAGTAAACGAATAAACAAAGTCACTCATTTTATGATGTTTGTTAAAACATGAATCATAATAAAGGATAACAAGTACACACTCCCCTATTGATAATTGCTTCAAATAACCACGATTTAAGCACTTTTAGGATTTTTTCCATCAGTAAACAACCTCAGCTTTTCCTCTTTTACCATTTTGGTCAATACAAACCATACAACACGGTGCATAGTTGTGCTCTAGATGTGCTGCACTCACATTTAAACTGCCCACAACAGAAAGTTTGGCTGGAAGGGCATGTGCTGTAAAATTCACTGTGAAGGCCCCAGATTAAAAAATAGCCAATAGCTTT